TTAAGGTTGACCTGGCAAGAGTATGTAACATGACGTGTAAGATGTTTCAGGGATTTGTGGAGATTGTTCGAAGTATGGTCCACGGGTAGGAGTTCTATTGGTTACTAGGCAGGATTAATGAGGCCTACAGAATTACAAGAGGAATGCGGGATTGATGGTAAATGTGAATTCTAATTCGTCGGGCTTCTAGAGGATTGGCATTTAGCCACTCAAACTCATGGCAGCAAGAATCAATGCGCGGTGTGGGATTGGTGGTGGTATCGGCGATATGGGAGTTGCTCGAAATTTCCCTGAGGAATCGCACATAGCCCTTTGAAATCCTCATGCTTCCCTTTTGAAAGCCCACCGTATGAGCAAGGAAGAGAGTGCCCATAATGGTACAACCTGAAAGTGCCGGTATCTTAAGCTTACTTGTAGTGACAAGACGATAAGATACCTTGAGGCATCCATCGATAGCAGTACTTTGCAGATAGAAAGCAGTGAAATCAAATCGGTTTGAAGGCAATTTTGGAGACCGCTTCAAGGGATGGCAGAAAAAATGAGAAAGACTACTGCAAGGTTGGTTGTAGAGAATGAACAAAAGGTACCAAGGTTTTATCCCCCCTCACTGTGAAGTACCACGGTCAGGAACGGTTTCTGCTGAATCGAACATGAAAAACGATTTTTTCTAGACTTCTTCCGGGGGCGAGCACAAGACTTCCTACCGGTTTGAGGTGAGAACCCGCAGAGGGATTCTCGAAATCGATTGCAGCATAAGGGGCCTTGACAAGGTGAAGATGTCGACCGCATCGCGAGCCAGGCTCGACAGGCCATCAGAGAAAGTCGGAGGCTGCTGGACGTCTCCTCAAGGAGTGGCCTGGGTTCGGTGGCTAGTGACGCACTGAGCTCCGCGCCTGCACCAGCACGGGAAGTGGTAGTGGTAGAGGACCCAGAGGAGCTGCGTCGACGGCAGAACATGGAGGCGGAGCAGACTGCCCTGGAGTTGGAGCGGAACTTTGACGAAGCGCTTCGCAAGCACAAGCTGGCAACACGCCAGGCTGAGGCGCTGCTGAGCGAATGCCAGGCAGAGATGGAGACCCGCAAGGCAGTGAGTGGCTCAGGGGGCCCCGGTGCCGAGGCAAGGGAAGAAGCTACAAGGCTGCGACAGGCAGCGAAGAAAGCGGAGGAGTCTGCTCGGCAGCAGGCAAGTGAGCAACGGGAGGTGCGGCAAAGACTTCAGCAGCTCATCGACGTTGCTAAAGCTGAGGTGTCTTCGGTGGCACAGCAAAGAGCAGATGCCCTCAAGCAGAGACAGGCTGCTGCACGAAGGCAGCAGAAGCAGCTGCAAAAGGCCCAGGCAACATGTGCCGGGTTGTCTCAAGAAGTCCAGGAGAAAAAGCGTTTGTGTGAGGAGACAGACAGGCAAATAGCGTCCACAGGACAGTCCATCACTAGCTCCCGACGAGCAGCCACGGAGGTTGCAGCCCTCGCTGGTGCGCTTCGGAGCCGGTTGGATGGCGAGGAGGAGACCGAGGCCCTTGAGCCCGCAGAGAGCGTGGAAGGCTCCCTCTGCGACACTGGCGGGTCAGACACTGGGGTACGCAGGTGGGAGTTGGCCGAGACCACACTGTCTGCCAAGGTGGGTATGAACAACAAACCTCAATATGGGAGTTATGGCAGGACGGGCCTGTAAGTTGTATTGCGGATGGGCAACAAGAAGCGCGAATGCAGAGCTCTCATCTGCAGTACTCATGTAGTGCTGTGCAACGATGACACCACAATATGTAGATGAGCATGTTTACTCACGAAAGCTTTGAAAGCCTGCCATTGCTACTTCGTATCGCTTTGTCCTCATCGCCATAGCAAGCAAGAGGTAACTCAGAACTCGCCGGTTCTCCAGTCACAGCATATCTGCTCTTTTCAGTCAGTCCAGACATGTTTGTAAAATGGTGCAGAAGCGATAAGGTATGCCAAGCCCAGGTGGCCGCAGCGCGGGATCGCTGCCGGAGCTTGGAGGAGCAGGCGCTGATGAGCGCGACCAGGGCTGAGGAGCTCTCGGCCCTTGTTGAGCACTACCAGCTGCAGCTCACACATCCTTCTGAAACCAGCGAAAACAGCCTCTCGACGGAGCTGAGGGCGGCCAGGGAGGAGCATGCCGAGTTGAAGAAGGCCCACAGACAAGCCCTAGCAGAGCTGGATGGCCAGAACTTGCAGAAGTTGGTGACTTCACTCACAGAGCCGAGTCGGAGTGCCAGGAGCGAGTGCACAGCCTCCCCCACAAGCCCTGCACAGCCTTCAGAGGCCGCGTTGAAAATCGCCCACTGCGAAGCTGAGCATGTCCATCAGCTGTGTCTGGTCGAGCAGCGCCTGGCTGAGCACGAGCTGTCCCAGTACCAAGCTCGTGTTGCTGGGCCAGAGACTCATGCTGCCATGGCAACACTGCAAGACTTGCAAATTCGTGCAAAGCAGAAGTCTGCACAGCTGGCTATCCGTTCCTTACATCAGCAGGGCAATCGCTTGGAGCATTTTATCCAGGCTGGACAGGTACATGATCTGGAATTTACAGCAGGCAAAATTGCCCCTGTGCTGGCAGACTCCTTAAAAAGCGGCGTTCATTGCAGCCTTGACGCAGCCAAACTGGAGTTGCAGAGCTCCGAGTCCAAGCTTTCTGCTTTGCCCAGACTACCCGGCACCTTGGAGGAGTTGCGGGAAAGCATTTACCACACCAGCGATTTGGAGGCAGAGTGCCTTGGCCGTGCAGAGCTCTGTGCAGACCTTCGTGCTTCTGTCGAAGCATTGCAGGCTGAGGCAGCTACTTGCACCCAGCAGCGGGAGGAGGAGCTGCTGCGAGGGGTGGCGCTGCGCTCCCGGCTTGAGGACGCATTGCGAGCTGAGGCTGCGATGGGTGTGGAGCTGCGATCCAAGCTGCAGGAGGAGTGCCGCGAGGTGAAAGCAACAGTTCAGGGTATGGAGCTGTCGTACAATGAGGAGGCACATGCCTGTACACGGCTTCGTGAGGAACTCTTCGCTGAGGAGGAGGCAGCCAAGAAGCTGGCAATCCGGTTGGCCTGCTTTGAGCGCTCGGACGCTGAACTGGACGAGCGGCGGCAGCAGCTGCAGTCTCGGATATCAGCAGTGTGCTTGGCACTGGACTTCAAGGCTGCTAATGCGCAGCAGCTACATGAGGAGGCCCAGGCATCCTGCGAAGCTAGGGCTCGGGCTGCAGTGGCAATCCAAGCGGAGCGCGCTGCGCTGCATGCAGCCGTGGCCAACCTGGAGGCTGAGAAGCAAGCCTCCCTCTCCCAGGAGTGGTTCTTGCAAGAGGAGGGCCCAATCGCAGAGTGAGCTAAGGCCCAAAGTGTCAAGGCTTCAAGCAAAGCACCCAGAAGACGGTGCTCGTTAATGACATGCTCCTTCTTGCTTCCAAGACAAAGAGCACGACGCACCTGTGAGCTTCTCCACCAGAACCCTTTAGAGAACCAGGCTTTGTCTAATGACCATGCATTACATTAGGGAACGCCTCTAAAGCTCGCCACATTTGGGAAGTGGTGAGCACTTGCCTGGTCAGGTCCGAAGCCGTCAGCCGTTGGCCAGTGAGTGGCTTTCAAAGAGCCCCTGCGGATCACGGATGTTTGATCAGGACTGCCCAGGTAATCCAAATTGCAGTAATAGCCAGGAAGATAGTGAGCAACCCGAAATCTCAAGCGGCAAGGATCAGGTCTTTCGAGCGGAAGACAGGCTGTTGCGTGAGATTTGCGGGGAAAACTGGCGAGCACTTGACATTCCTCATCATCTTCTGTCAGTTACAGTTTGAGAGATCTTCCATTTTTGAATCCTCAGTGCAGGTTGTGTCGTCAGGCAGATATTCAGAGATTTCCTTCAACGCTTGAATGATACGTCATCCACTTTTTGGATGGTGGCATTTGTTATTAAAATGCGAGCAGAATCTTGTCCCGGAGGGGGCGCGGAACAGGGGGGCTCTTCTTGTTCCCTGTGCTTTCGTGTCTGTATTGCGGGCGATCGTGTTGCCTTTGGGGTCCATTGGAGGTATGTCCTCCATGTTGACCCTGCTACGTAGACCGAACAATACTTGGTGATACTCGGTCTTTCTGGTAGTTTCCCAAAATTAGGGTACCCCAATATAGACCCCAACATATTATAGTCCTGATTGTAGGGACCCCCAAAAGGTACCCCTAATTTTGGGAAATCCCCATATAAAGGATAAGTATCATTGGAGGAGGAAAGCTTTGAACCTGGGAGGCTGGAATGGCTTTGTCGACCCGAGGCCTACGACTTTTCAAACCCCGAACCCTATATATCCCCCATATAACCCCTACATAAGCCATTATAGTAGTTTCCATTTTCTTTTCCATTATCCCCATAGAACCCCAAAATAGTCCCTATAATCCCTATACAACCAAAAATAGGAGTTTCCATTTTTTCTTGTCCGTCATCCCTATATAACCCCAATATCGTCCCTATGATCCCTATATAACCCATTATACTAGTTTCCATTTTTCCATTATCCCTATATACAGCCTAAGTTCCCTCAGATGCCCCCTTAATAGTCGGTTTGATAATAAAGAACCAACTGGAAAAGAACATGGGAATTAAATTACCCCTAGTAACGGAGAATAAATGGAAAAGAACATGAAAAATGAAACGGAAACTGCTATATATATATATAAATACATATATATATATAGGGTTATATCAGGATTCTATGTAATCCGCGTGGATGAGGCCTAGTTAGTAGGCTTCGCAGTCCCAGCTCCTCAATCATATCTCACTGGGATTTGGAATCGCTACCATACTTACATGAAAGTGCATGCCATGCACTAATCCGCTTCCTCTAATATTACAATCATCCACACCCCTCTTATCAAATATTCTCAATCCATTATAGTAAATCCTAGGCTGTAAGCCTCAAACCCCAATGCATGGAGTTAATATTCCCAGTATAGTTAGTGAAACCTACGCCCTAAAGCCTGTAACAATATAGGAGGTTATAGTATGCCGAGGTCATGATCTGCCTGGACAATTCGGACTATACAAGGCTGATACCATGCATGTGGTGTGGAAGGGTAGGAGGAAATGATACAAGATGAAGGAGACTAGATAGCTACCACTATTGGTTTTAGGCACCTTTTTTCCTTTCTGTTTCATGGCTGCTCGTGCAAATAAGCTTTCCTGTCATGGTCGTGCTGTTACTACTGTCGCTTGGCAGGAATGGCGACTATATGCCCACTCGCTTCGATTCACAAACTGATGCAGCCAACCTTTTGTGTGGTGCAAAGCACCCCCGGCGAGCTTGGCAAAGTTTTGTGTGGAGTAGCAGTACTCATCAGAGCGGCAGTAGCCGCAGCAACCATGAGAGAATAGTTTGTCTTGAAGAAAAGGTTATCGCCCGTAGTCATAAAAACAAAGAGGTCAGTCAAAAAATACAACCAGTAGTGCATCACTCTTGGCCAATGCCTCTTTTGCAGATATTGAGTGGAGCTAAACTTTCTTAACGGGCACAGGTGCAAGTTTTGCAGGCTTCATACCAGCTTGCTTTCCAATCATCAGGTGGCTTGGGCTCGCGTGTAAGGGGAGGTTTCAGTTTTAATCCCAATAAAATGAGACAGACGTAAGATGAGGAAGAACCCTCGGGCCGTTGTTGATTCTGTCAATTCTTTGAATGTGGCATGCGGACGACCTCATGTAGCAGGCTGTGTGCTGACCGGGATATGTTTCTTTGGGTTTTGGAGTCCACATTTGAAAATCAGTTCCAGCGATGCTGCAGAGAGAACCCGGGAAATAGCGAATCCCTAAACTCTAGACCTTTAGTTGAGTCAAAATCTAAACTCCTTAAAGGGTTTTAGATAGGGGACTACTATAGGAGGTATTAAGGGGGATACTAGGAGTTTAGTCTATGGCTCAGTTGCTCCAAAGCCAGGACAAATCAGAATCCAGAGAATGCCGTCGGAATCTTGGCTAGTGCCGGAGACCGCATTGAGGCTGGCTGCCTTGTAAGAAGGAACTACATATGGGGATTTGGCCAGGTAGTAGTAAGGTTTGGGACGCAAGGATGTGAGGGTATTCTAAGGGGCTTTTTGTACAGGGATGATGGGTGGCACTATCAATTTGTTCGTTTTCAAATCTGCAAATAAATGCCCGGGCATATGCCTGGATCCGATTTTGGATAAACGATTTTGCAAGTAGATTTAATTTCTCTGTCGTCTCTTCATGCGCGCGGGACTTTGGAGGGGCAAGCAGGAGACCCCACCGAAATTGGTAGGGACATGGATTGCCGATGCACGGACTTGAGAGCTTTGCCGTTTGAAGGCAGTTGGTGGGCTCACATTACGGAATGTTCCAGCTGCATCCGCTGTCTTTAAACTTTAGCAAGCGAATAGCTGATTTCTGTGGTGTTCTCTGTATGGGAATGTTTACCACACCATTTAGGATTCCACTTTCTGACCCTCAACTTGAAGCTCGCCTTTTTGCAGGTTATGGTGACCCCAACTCCAGATCTGGGAAGACTGGCCGGGACCCGCAGTCATGCCGGGTGTACTTACTTGCGGTTGTGAAGCTTAATATTTTGGCGTTTGAAGCTCTATTTCGTTGAGGGCCTGAAGGATACTGAGGTTTGGAAGCCTTTTCTGGATTCTCTGGCAGGATTTTTGAGAAAGTATCGGGCCGGCTTGCGGGCTTGCGGGTGGGGGCGGTCAGTCCTGCTGGGAAGGCTCCACCAGATTCAACAATGCAGTATTTTCTAGCTCCAGGGCCTCTTAAGGGGGAGGGCCAGACAAGGATGGGATTGTGTAATGGGAATGTGAGGAGAATTAAGGGTTTCTTTGGGGGTGGGATGGGGACAAATATTGGGTATATAAGGCTCACACAAGGTACTTGTTGTTGACTACTAGTTGCCTTTGAAGATTGCACTGGTGTTTTGATTAGGACAGCTGTAGAAACTCGGACCAAAAAGTGGGGCTACCGACTGTAGACGCAATAACGTGGACGGTTCAGTGAATTTCCGCTGCAACTGTTTAGTGCTTCTAGAAACTTCAAGATCAAGAATAACCGGCGGTTTAACATATTTTTTGTAAGGGGACCCAGTATACACCCAAGGAAGATCCATCAAGCACTCCTGTAAGTCACAGTCCCTGCAGGAGGAGGCCTCGCACGAGTGTTCGTTCTAAGTGGGATGACGCGCATGAGACTTTTCTTGCTCGCCCTGATACCCTGCGTAGGAACGCCAGGTTTCATGAAAAGTCGGAAACCCTGAACTCTAAACCTCACGACGTTTTCCGAGGTGACCGAGCTAAACAGAGTTACAATCGGCCTCGCTGGCGGGTTTGTCTGCATCCGCCTTGAGGGGGGCAACGCATGGGGTTTGTCAAAATTTTGGGGAGTTTTTGGACCCGAAACCCTAAACCACCTAAACCCTAAACCATTTTTGGGTACAGATTGGGCCTGTAGGATGCTGAAGGCCATCCCTATCTTGCTGTGGGGGCGGTCCAAATTCAAGTTCCTTGTTGGGTGCAGTATTAGGGGCTATAGAGTACATGGGGACGTAAAAAAGGATCATGGCTGTGACAACTTCCCAATTTCTACATTGTAATCCCGACAGCATAAAGCCCTATGTACACAGCGTTTCCAGTTTTTAATTTTTTGCATGTGATTCTCCAGTAATTATTGGCCCAATATCCCTTGAAGCACTCTATAAGCCTTATCTTATTGCAGGAAGGCATTTGGGGTTTTCAGGTCGGCTTTCGTTTGGCAAATTCGGTGTGAAGAATTGTCCGTTTGCAAAGGGATCAGGGGATCTTTTGTGTGGCATGGGGGGCCAAGCTTCTATTCACGGGATCCTCAAATGGGTGTTTCTCAATTTGAGGATCCAGGCGGGATTCAGCAGGCTCCTAATTTTGAGAAGCCACTGCAAGAGATCAGAGGGGCAATCTTGTGCCTTGTCTTGGTAACTGTCTCTTGCTGACGACAGAAATGAGGGGGCTCCCTCGCTTTCAGGGCGACGACTTCCCCTAAATTTGTGGCTTTCGCGGGCGTGCTGTGGAAGCACTGCTCTAAGAGGGAATTCCTGGATTCTTGTCGCCGCATTGACCCGTCATTCCTGCATTTTTAGATATTTTGATATATTTTGTTGCAGGGCGTGCGGGTGGAAGAGAGCGGGAAGGTGTTTAGGTGAAGGAGCGCTTTTACAGGCACACGCAAGTCACGGCTCGTGTCATTGTCAGATGGACCGACGCCAGCTCGGTAGCATGGCCAAACTTAGATCTGATCGGCGACCGATTGCAACGCAGCAGACGTAGGTGGATCACCCACCTAGTAATAGTGCCTGGAAGGCATAATGGTGATTATGTTAGGGTCCTCCTACTCATATTATACCACGACTATTGCAGGGTGGCGGTCCACCTACGAGCAAGTAATTGTGGAGAAAGCGTGCCTGCAGCTACACTGTGTACACGCTGCGTGCGCCGGCATGTTTGTGTAGTATGCTAGTGTCCACTTCAGGATCGTCCTAAAGTAGAACTTAATATTTGTAGAAGGTTGACGTGCAGTCACCAGTATCCCAACTTGGATTCTAGCCAGAGATCGTAGGTGCAGTTGCCAGTACACCCCAATTTAGTTTAAAGATATGCTTCTTGCGACCTTTTTGCAGTGTCAAGTCAAGCAACCCATGATCCCTAAACCTATGAACGATGTCACTTGAAGAGGCAAGGTGCGCCCCCAGGGTCGGCAAACTTCCACTGACATGTTCGGGTTTCTCAAAGTAGGGGTACCCAGCAGGGCTTGTCTGGTCCTTGCAGAGTTCCTTTCGTCCAATCCATGCGCTGGCTTCCCCTCACTGGGCACTGAAAACCAGAAACAACAAGTCTGCGCAGGCCTTTAATCCAAGGCTTGCAACAGATGCGGAAGTCTTCAGCGAGCTTTCATGTGCGGATTTTGGGGATGTAAGTTTAATTTAATCCTTTTTGTGATATTCTATTGCCCTACCAGACTGAAGACAGGCTCTGTCGTAAGGGCCAACTAGTATACTTCTGTAGCAGGTGGCAGCAGCGATTTACTCCGCGCCATCCAAACCGCGCAGCTGGCTGGGGCCTTGAGACCATGGCACAAACCTGGGAAGGTTCCAGAAAACTCCTTGAGGGCTTGGCTTGCTAAAGGAGATCTTTGCAGCACACAGTCACTTCTGCCGGATTTGCTGCTTTGCGAGGGCGGCGATCATTCAATCCTTGATCTCAAGGGAGAAGAAGCCCTGTACTGATTGCTTGGCTGTGTTCTCGATGCAGTCAATGAAGATAAGGAAGTTTCCCAAATTATTAATCATAGTCCCGTGAAATCATTGAACTCATCAAGCAACGACCAAGGTCTCCACATGTTTTTCAGATCCCAAGGAACGGAGGAATGCATCCCCGTAGTAGTCCTGATATAACTTCACAATGGCATACCTTTCATTTTCTGTTTCCATGCCTTTATTCCCTACCGGCAACCAGCAAGAAGGGTACTCTTTTATGAGAACTCCGCGACATCACCTCCGTCTCGCCAAGGCTCTCAAGCACCGGCAAAACAAAAAGCAGAAACAGAGGCCAGCCTTTATTTAGGGTATCCCAGGAATTTCAATGAGTACTATTAATAATATTTCTTACTATTACGATTAGTATAGTATTATTATTGCGATTATTATTCTCATTCTTCTTATTATTATTCTTGGTATTACCACTTAATTATCCTGGGGTCAAGCTTTAGCCGTGTACTTTGAGGCGATTTGGACGTGTGTGGAGGATGAAGCGGCATTCTGTTTGAGAAGGTTGTGAGAAAACATCATTTGAGAGTGTGCGTTCGTTGTAATGCATCGTGCTTCAGCCTCTGAAACAACCCATTATAGTAGTTTCCATTTTCTTTTCCATTATCCTTATATAACCCCAATATAACCCTCTAACCCCTAAATTCATGGGGGCCGAACTCGTACTGCTCAGCCCAGAGATGTTAACAGTTTGAGTTCCCAACAATCCAGGGATTGGGATCTGCTTGAGAGATGTATTGGAATTTCAAGTTTCAGACATGCGCAAGTGCCTGTGTGCGAGGATCATCGCGTTCGTCGGCAGCCCTGTGACTGCGACAGAGAAGGCGGAGAAAGCTAGAGGGTGCCCCTAATTTTGGTAAACCCCCATTTGGTTTATTTGGGTTGTTCCAAACCCTCAGGAGAATTCCGAGAATCATCAAGCAAGGCTGTGGCAGTTTCAGAAGCTTGAATTTTCGGTGAAGACGCCACGTAGGCATGTAGAACACACGCAAAACCTGGAGAGCGGAAGAAGCACCACGCTTCCTCTAGCGCATGTCATCTGCGTAGAGTGGAGGAGCTGGAGACCTTGGGCAAGAACCTCAAGAAGAATAGTTTCCGAGCTGCATTAGCAGAATTTGGGTGAGGCTGGTGGTGGAGGAGGCGCCGTTGTTCTTACCCAAGTTCTTGGATGGGCACAGCCTGACTGCTTCATCCCCGTTCTGTTTTGTTTTGTGGGTTTATGAGAACATCCGTGCCGACTAGCTTTTGATGTCCTCCTCGATCACTCTGAGAATCTTCCGGACAGCAGGGGGAAGGGGTACACAAGGAAGATGGTGCACATGGAAGATGGTGTTATCCAAAGTGGCCTTGCAATCCACGGAGTGGTGTTACATGAGCAGGCGTATGAAAGATGGACAGAGACTGCCCAAGCTGCGCCGGCAAAGTCCTGTTGTCATCTCTTTGTCCACCACCTTCAGGTTAGATGTGTTCCATTCTTGTATCGTGGTCGCATGTTTCCGGACCGAAGAGCCATGCGGACAGCTGTCCCAGCAAGTTCCTCTGCATTGTCACATACAAACGACTATCTACAAAGCCCTTTGCGCTGATGGCCGCCCAAAACTTGAAAACAACAGCCAAATCCGAAGATTCAAAGATATACTCCAGGTAAGAAAAGATTAGATTTATGGCCAGGTTATGCCTTACATCTCCCCTATAGCATAGTTACTCTTTAGATAGCACTAGTCACTAGTGCCTCGTAATTACCTACTCAAGACATGTAAATCATGAATCCTTCACCTGACAGCCACCATCTCCAACAATTATTAGTTTCTCAGAATGGTCCCTGTGCAGTATAGTAATAGAAGTAATCGTAGTAGTAGAAATAGTAGTAATAATTGTAAGAATAGTAGGAATAGCAATATTAGTAACTTGTATAATGGTAATAATTGTACCAGTAGTAATAATCGTAAGAATAGTAATAATAGCAATAATCGTAATAATAGTAGAAATAATAACAATACAAATAATAGTAATATAGGGGCCTGACGACTTAGTAATATTCTGGTCCTTCTATAATCATGATATAGGGTATGTCAATGAACTTCAAAATCATGTTGAGAACTATGCAGGCCCCTATTGATTCTCGAAGAGGGGTCCTGGATTTCCTTTTCATCACTTTCTGTCTTTTTATATCCGCAGAGTCACTGGGGCCCCCACATTTTGACTGAACCACCTTCTCAGGTGTTGCCTTAGACCTGGTCAGCTTTGGCGAAGTAGAGGAGAATGCCCGGGCCTTGAGTGATTCATGGTTGATCATATCAACCACTCAAATAAAGCGGCCCTGCCTTTGCCCGGCTTCCTTCCTTTTGATCTGCTGTTGACCGCTCCTGATCAACAGCTGGACACGGCCTTGGACAGCTATGTCGCATGTCATCAACAGGGTGATATGTAGGTGAGCATTGTGTGATTCTATTTACCGTCCCTTTCATACACACACACACATGAACAGATTACAAGCTACAGAAGGGGTGTGGTGGTGGTGGTGGTGGTGGTGGTGGTGGTGGTGGTGGTGGTGGTGGTGGTGGTGGTGGTGGTGGTGGTGGGGGGGATGATGCCAGCCACAGTGCAAACGACACCTTGTCCCCTTGCTATGGCTGGTTTCTGGAGGATGCATCCCAGAGATGGTTTTTCCACTTCTTTTCGGCATCCTGGTGCGACAGCTAGGTCCGCGGTTCATCTCAGGATTATGAAGAAAGTACGGGGTGTCCTTTTAGTCGCTGTACTGCGCAACTAGCATACCGTAGTAGAAGCAGCTATGTAGTGAACATCTGCACGTCCGATTACGAGAAGCTCTGGGACCTTGGGCCACTGCTGCGTGACCCTTAACGTGAAAGCCTTTCTATAAGGCGCCAAAGCTGGAGAAGCTCATGAACGCCCTGAACAGTCAGGATACCTCGCACCTGTCAGTTCCTGAGAAGTTTAAAGCAGTTCCTGAAAAAAGCCTTGTGGCCACTCGTCTCCTTGTGATTTCAGTGCTGTTGCTATTGGCTGTAATTGCTATGATTTACGTTATCGTTCCAGTTCTCCCAAGCTGATGACCTGCAGTCGGACCCCCCATGACACGTCTCGGGTGGGTCTTACTTGTAGGTGGTGCCATTGAGCCGATTCATAGTCTCCTTTTATTCTGTTTTTGCAAGGTACCAGGGGATCTTTTGTTCTAAGGCATGTTTAGCCAGAGAGCAATACATCATGAACCCACGAGACCTACAGCCCAACCCCAGGCCATAAATTCCTAAGAAAGAAGGTCTCAGAAACACACTGCTCCCTTGGGCAGTCCTGCAAATCAAATAGCCTGGCTCCAAAAATCCGAGGTCCTTGCCTTGATGCAGGCAACTGCCATCACCGATCCTCTCAGTTCTGACTTTTCAGAATTGCAGCACGAAAATGATAAGAGTAGCAAAGCACGTTTCCATTTCACTCTCCAAATGAAATTTGTCATTCCTTGGATACCAATCCAAAGAGAACACGCCGTCTACAGAGATGCTGGATCCTAGAAGCCAGTGGTATTTTCAAGACCTGCAGCCTTACCACTGTAGTGATTCCAGTTCAAAGCAGTCGTCGTAATTCGGCTTTCCCAAATAAAAGCAAGATTATGCTCTTCTAGGCAGTGGTCGGTATTCTCCTGCCCAACCCAAACCCTCAACCCGTAATCCTCGACCCTGAACACAAAACCGCCCACCCCTCAACCCTCAATCCCAAAACTCTAAGCCCTTGACCCCTCAACCACGAATTGAAACCGCTTAAACCTTAAACCCTAAACCCGTAAAATCTAAACTACCAGGCTGGAGGCGCCCGTTGGGCCAAAGCTCCTCAGCGACATCCTCCTCTCATCACCGATTGTGAATCCCGAGGGGGAGGCTCCAAGTGAGGAATAGTCTAAACTCCTTAAAGTGGGTTATGTAGGGTATTATAGGGCATTGTGGGGTATTATAGAGTTCTATAGAGTTCTATAGGGTCTAGGGTTTGGGCTAAACGACTTAAAAGGGGGGGTTATATAGGGGAGCATTAGAAGGCTTGAAAAGGGGGATACCAGGAATGTAGACTATAGCTCAAATCTTGAGTGTGCCGAGGCTTATGAACTTCCACGGCTTGAGCTTTTCAGGGAAGTGGGCTGGATTTTGAGAGGTCGCATTTGCAGTGGATCCACGAGAGTAAGGCAACGGGTCGCATGAGTTTGGGCGGGTTGGGCCGGTTTTCCAGGATGAGAACTGGATCTGCTGTCAAAAGGTTGCTGCATGGTGTTCCGTTTGGTGCCGGAAGAAAAGGTCCGATTAGGAACCCTATCCCTCCCCTCCTTTCCCCCTGCCCTCCCCAACAAAAAAAACCTAAGAGCATGGATCAGGCTGGTGCAGGCGGCGAGGGTGGCGAAGCCGGCTTTGAGTTCGGCATCAACCCCAACGAAGATCCGGAGCGCTATTCAGGGTTTAGGGTTTCGGGATATTATTCCAATAGTGGAGAATCAAATGGACAAGAACATGGAACATGGAATGGCAACTGGAGTCATACAGTGGGGTTAGGGGGTTAGGGTCTACCTTGAACGAATCTTGGCTAATTGTGCCCCGGTTTCAAGGCATGCAGCCCTTTTGGGGTTTCTTGGCTTTCCAGGTTTGGGGTTTAGAGTTTACTTACGGGTTCTTGTTGGGGACTATAACGGAAAACGTTGTGCAGGGGTTTGATTGGGATTATATTACCTTATTCCCTGCTATAGAGCTCTGGGTTTAGCAGGTTGTGAGCTGTAGATGGTAGGGTTCCCTGCTTGGAATCTAGCTACAGGTATCCAAACGTGACCGTCCTGGTACAAAGGATCTGTAATTTTCGGAAATGACTCTTTAATGACTTCTTTCGCAACATGCCGGGTAAAGGTCATTTTCCAGGGAGCCCACAAGGCCCGCGTCGGTGTAAGGGTTCAGGGTCTAACGGTCTAACTGTACACTCAGAACCCAAGAGGTTCACGGCCTCTTTAAGGTTGAGCCCTATGGGCCATAAATGCTGACGAGTACATTACATGCCCAAGATCATATATGTATGTAAGAGAGTTTCCATAAACAGAGCAGCCCAATATTCAGCCCAATTTGCTGAAGCTGCAAAAGCGGAACCTCGAATTTTGCAACTTGCCGCCCACGTATCTGTGTATGTACGAACCAGTAAAAACAGGGGTTGTGCTTGGGAAGCTTTTTTAGAAGATGCAGAAGGCCTATGTGTAGACAGACTCTGGAGGGTACCTAATGGATCGTCCCTTGGACCCTTCATCACGTAGTCCTGGGTCAACTCGTGATGCTGGCTATTCAGAGCTCCTCTTAGTAGCTGTAGCTGGCTATGACCACAGCAACCATGGCGGCTGCTGCTGCTCCTGCTGCTCCTGCTGCTCCTGCTGCTCCTGCTCTCCCTCCTGCTTCCTTTGCTGCTCCTGCTGTTGGAGTTTCTGTTCGTTGTCTCATTAGGCGGGGCACGGGCGCCGTCGTCATTGGTGTGCTTATGCGACAGATGTGACTGACATGCTCCAAGGGACCTACAGCCGTAGGGCTTTGAAGCGTGATTCGTCCAGAACTCCGCGGACATTTGAAAGAGTCGCCATGGGGGCAGATGTGGGGGCAAGGGTGGAAAAAGAGTGAAGGTTGCGGTGCTCCTGTTTTGGGATCTGTGAAGGGCACTCCTTTTGGAAAACTCTCAACAAGCTGTATATGATCCTTGAAAGGAACTTTCTAAGGTACCCCTAATTTTGGGAAACCCTAAACCCCATATAATCCCCTATATAATCCCAGTTTCCATTTCATTTTCCATTTTCTTTTCCATTTGATTCTCCAATGCTGGGGCCCTAATTTCACGGAATCTGTGCTTCTGCTCCTTGGGCACCTCCTAAAAGGCGTGGTTTTTTCCTGAATGACATGGAAATTGGGTGAAGTACTGGTTCATAGAGATTATCATGAAGAACCTTGTAGGTTGTCCATGGTTCTTTTTTTTTGCATCATCTTTATAATGGCCCCGAACATTTAGGGTACCCCGGAAAGGGAACATTGACATCCTGCGGATGCTGTAGGGGTATATGAGGCATTTTGTTTTGCGTGGGTTAAGTTGGTGGTTTAGGGTATAGATTACAGGGTGCAGGATCAGAGGCCTTTAGGCCCCCAGATTGGGATCCCGCAGAAATGCTCAAATCAACTTCAATCCCCAAACAGCTTGTGACAACGGGCCGACACTCTTTCACGTGTGACCTGTAACGCCCCCACCAGCTTTGTCCAACGTGAGCTATAGTCTAAACTCATTAAAGGGGGTTATATCGAGGAGCATTGCAAGGGTTATTAAGGGAGATGCTAGGAGTGTAGACTAATTATAGCTCATGTACAGCTTAGGTTGTGCACAAACTCGTATTGCCTGGTAATTGTGTTCGTGCTGCGCCCCGATTACAACAGAAAGTTCTCACCTGCAAGGAGATTGAAAGAACTGCTGTGGATTCTTCACCAACGCTTGCAAGAATGATGCCTCAATGGGGTTTACAAAAACAGTAATCCTTGTGCAATCTTTAAGGCGGACCCATATATTCTCCTAAAGCCCTAAGGGCTACATATCCCTACTACATTTTTGAAGGGGTCAAGGGTACCTATATGGGGCCCGAGAGGAGTTGGCGCTGGCTCTCCGCATCTCCATGGAGGAGGAAAGAGCCAGGCCACTTTGCATAGGATTTAGGTCTTTAGGGTGCGGGTTTAGGGTTAAGAGTTTAGCTGTTCAAGGAGGAAGCTATATATTGGGGTGTCTGTCAGTGTAGATCCCGTGCATAAGAGCTTTATTTGAACCTACAGGTTGCAACCCTATGCCCTAAACTGAAAACCCACAACCCTTCTAACAACCCGTGAAACAGAGTGTTTGCCATGGCCATTTTTTGGCCCCAAATCCTAAACCCTAGACCCCCCAAGTGCCAAAACCCAAGCCATCAGGCTGAACTTGCAGAGAACAGGTCCGATAAACAACAAATCTGATAGCTAACATCCTACAAGCATACATGCAAACGTCCCCGGATCCTGAGCGCTGAGCGCTCTGCCTCATGTCTTGAACCTAAGACCCCACATCCTCAAGCCCTCAAACAAAACTCTCTCCCTCTCTCTGCATATACATGACCCTACAACCATATACGTATTTACACGTGAATATGCAGACAGGCATATAACACCCCTGACTGCGAAGCTTTCCGACATGGACCGCAACCCTAGGAACCCTAAACCCTAAACCCTAAATCCCTAAACCCAAAACCATAAACCTTAAACCTATAAACCCTGAACCCTAAGCCCTAAACCCTAAACCCTAAATCCCTAAACCCTAAACCCTAAACCCTAACCGTGGAGGCAGCAGGCTGCCGGTGGCGAGGCACCTGCAGGAGGGGAAGCTGCCCCAGCCGGTCAGGCACCTTGGTAGATAATCTGAGAAAACTAAAGGGTTTAGGGTTTAGTGTTCTAGGATTTAGGGTTTAGTGTTTTAAGACTTAGGGTTTGGGGTTTTAGGATTTAGGGTTTGGGGTTTTAGGATTTAGGGTTTGGGGTTTTAGGATTTAGGGTTTAGGGTTTTAGGATTTAGGGTTTAGTGTTTTAGGACATAGGGTTTAGGTTTTTAGGATTTAGGGTTTAGTGTTTTTAGGATTTAGGGTTTAGGTTTTTAGGATTTGGGGTTTTAGGATTAATGGTTTAGGGTGGGTGTAGGGGCTTAGGTTTAGGAGTTTAGGGGTGTACCGGGGAGTTTGGGGGATGCTACTTAGTGAGTAGGGTTTAAGGTGAGGGAGTGCATGGGGTTTTGGGTTACGAAAGACTGTGAAATTTTTGACAGGATCATGATAGAAGCTGGTCATAACTTGGGTTCGTTTACTAGCTAGACGCCTTTAGTTGAAGAGCTTGCGTGCAGCTACGGGAGTGCTGCTTGTCAGAGGAGGCAGGTGAGTCCAAATGTAAGTTTGTTGGAGGGTAGAGTCTCGGTCTCGGGCGATGGACATCATGATATTGCGTGTTAGGTCAGGGGTGCAGGCTGAGCGAGGTTCCAGGGTTTAAGGCTTTCAGGATAAGACCTCGGGGTTTGGAGGTTTTTGCGGCCTTGGCTTTGGTTAGGGCCTGTTGATTTTGGCGTGTTGGTGGGGCTCGTGTTGAACCCCTGAACGTTTCAATGCATTTCAACCCTCAACCCTAAAACCCTGAAGCGCCAAGCCTGCAACTCTGGAACCCCAAACCCTAGACCCGCACAAGAATTCAAAACCCTCTACAGCACCACAAGGCGCCGGCAGCCGCAGCACCTGCTCCAGCTTCAGGGGAGCCGCGCTTGGGTCATGTAGGGCTTGCTCAGGCTTGGATTTTTTTGGGATCTTTGGGATGTCTGGGCAAACCTTGGGGATCATTGGGCATCCTTTTCATAATTCTGCGAAGATTAGACCCAGAAGATCGCCAATTCGCGAACTCCATACGATGAGGGTAGTTTTCGGCAGTTTCATGGAGATTGAGGTGTTTTAGGAAGTTCTCTAGGGTTTGTCTTGATGATCGGAACCAATCTCATCCCAGTGTTGCTAGGAGACGGCTCCAGCAGCGTCGCTGCCCGTAGTCCCTGGGCCATGGAGTTTCAGCTCAGGGTTTTGGGTTTTGGGTCTAGGGTTGGGGGAGTGAGGTTCGGGTTTAGGGCCTGGGGGTCCAGAATCAAGACTGGCGGATTTCAGGAGTCACAGGGAGCGCTCTTCAAGATCATGGGACACGCTGGGCCTTTCCAGGGATGATTGGGGCGGCAATAGGCTGTGGTGAGTCAGTCAGTTCTCACAACGTTGGGGGCTGATGGGTTCCAGGTCATTGTCATGACGCAGCCAAAAGGTTTCCAACAAGACGGGTCCCTGTCTTGACAGCTGCTCATGTGAGCTTCTGGATGAAGGCATTTCGCTGTGAGGTTCTGGGTTGTATGTACGCATCTGCTTCTCTGCTTGGTGGATGCTTGTAGGTGACAGAGTTCAAAACTCTTGCCAAGTTTACATCAGCGCCAGGCTCCCGATGCTGCAGTGATGGAAGCCATGGGCCACTGGGCTGGGTTGCATGTTGCAGGTCTTGCTACTTCAGCTGTCCGGAGAGATGTTGTTTTGCCATTGTTCCTTTCCCTTATAAACCCTTGTCAACAATTACATTAGTACTGATTTCTCCCGGGCTAGCGAGGTCAGGTTTCCAGTTTTTCCAAGCCCTCACTTCTGATAGTCAGGTTTTGGGCTTAGGGGCTCTGATGCTTAAGCGACCTGTTCGTATTCATATCATGCCTCAGCCGTTGCAATACTTGTAATGCTGTTGGAACTACGCCCTATTAAAGTCAGAGCAATGGAGGCGTCCTTTGAACACCCAAAAGTCTTCACAAGCTGTTGGCTATTTTGCCGCCTGCTTGAAGCAAACGTGGCAAGCACTGTAGCTCACTGTCAAAGGACAGCGCTTGGAGGCTCAGTGTACTTGTAGCTGAATTTTGCTCGTACTTATAACACAATTATTTGCCCCCTAAATCGCTCAAAACGGTCATAATTGCTTGAGAAATACTAGTTGTCTCTGGGTTATAACTATCCAGAACTGCCACCTTGACGGGATATCTTGTATGTTCTGGAGTGTAACTAATCAAACCTGCAGCCCTGAGCCTAAACTTTAAACTGCTGTCAGAGGAGGAGATTATTCTCATGTCGAGACCATATGGTCTTAGTTCCTGGCAAAGTATCTGAGGATTTTGAGGTATCATGGCAGGTTTTTCATACGCATCTCTACACGCTCACTCAATCCCCATATATCCCCCCTAAACCCTAAACCCATAGGGTACCCCCCCATGCAAGCAAGGAATGGAGGACATGGACGACGAGCTGCGACAGGCGCTGCTACTCTCCATGCAAGAGCTCGGGCCTTGGAAGCTGACGCCTTATTAGTACTATTAGTATTATTACTATTGTTTTGCAATTCGTAGTATTACTACTATTATTACTATTCTCATTACTATTATAAGTATTGGTAAAACTACTATTATTACTTGTATTATTACTACTATGATTACTACTATTATTACGATTATTGCTATCATTATTACTACTATTACTACTAGTGTTATTACTATCATTATTGCTTCTTGAGTTTTTTTCCAGCTAGCTTGTCGGATTGGGGTGCTTGGTGTTTTGATGGTTCTCTACAGGGTGGAAAAAGTTCGATGTTTGGGATTCCGTAGCCTTTCAGCCTTCAAGTGGCTGCCTCATTATTCTCTTACAGGGGTGGAATGCATGGCAGCAGTGTTCCGGGGCGGGTTCCGAGATTTGGTGTTGGGGTTGAGGCGCTAGAGTTCGGGAATTCGAGTCCTTCGCAGCTTGGGGTTATGAATGAAGCTGATGCTGTTCAAGCTCACAGGTCCTGTTTTGGAGCCCTTGCAGAAGCTATACCATTATTCTAACCATACATGACCCTGATGTAGAGGCAATGCAACCTTTCCCTGGACCTCTCAAGGATGGACGGCGGGTCAGCAGCGCCGGCAGCGGCCCCGGCGACGGCGCCAGCAGCAAACACGGCACCTGCAGCAACAGCCCCAGCCTCGCAGGCAACATCGGGGGTGGAAGGATTTATGATGGTTTTTGGGGCTTACACTGCGGTAGGGATTTTAGAGTTCAAGGGCTTTAGGGTTAGAAGGCTAAAGGATGGGGGTTCAGGGTTTAGAGTTGTTTCCAGGAGTTTCGTGTTGACGTAGCATGGTTTTAACAAGGTCAAGGGAGCTGTAACGCGTTCCTACTCGTGTTCATCAGAATCATCAGCATCAACACTACCATCTTCATCCTTCTTCTCTGTCTGAATCCGTTCCCCCAATATCCATAGACGCCCCTGATGATAAGTATTCCTCCGATAGATTCCACAATTCCAGAAATTCCCACAAGACTATTCTACAAAGGGCCAAGACTACTTTTTGAAAGGGACCCCCTTGATTTCCTGGGTTGGTAGTGTCTTCTTTTACAATTTCTATACAGGAGTTTATATAGGATCCAGGTAAGATTTTTGATTAGTGTTGTTTCAAGTCTAGGTCGTTTTTGAGGCTTGAAGGAGATTTTCAATCGTTTTTTAATTAGATTTTAATTCGCTTTAAAATGATGTCAACGTTTGAATTTTTTGCGTTTCAATCAACCTCGCCCGCGAGAGTTACTATCTGCATTGCAGTGGCGTCAAACGGTAGCTACCTCTAGCTACATTGTTCTTCCGATGAGTTCAGTTCATAGCTTTGAGCTGGCGGCAGCATCGCTTGCATTTTCGCTTAGCAGGCCTTGGGGTCAGGCATGTGCCGACCGCATTGTATTTCGTGGAGCATGTCAAGAAAGTCGCATTCCCGGCCACGGCTCGTGCACGGCTGTGATTCACCTTCCACAGCACTGTCAAAAGAAAAGGTTGTAAGCTTGAAGTGCGTCGCTGCTTATCCAGTCTTCGCTGATATGTGTAACTATGAGTTCCTGCCGAGGGCAAATCTGCAGGTGCACGGAAGTGGCTGGCATTGCCCCTGCACCACCCATATTATAATATAGTAGTTTCCATTTTATTTTCCATTATCCCAATATAACCCATATCATAATATAGTGGTTTCCAGCAAGAAATCCAAGAATTGTGCCCAGCCTCCATGGCCTGGGGCCTGGCTCGAAGCTAGGAGTCCTCATAAAACCCCAAGCCTAAAAACCTAAATGGGATAATGGAAAATAAAATGGAAACCACTATATTATACCGAACCCCAACCATAAACCCTTAGCCCAGAGTCGGCCAAGACCTTGAAACAGAGACGCGAAGCCTTCCCCAGATCCAGAAGGAAATCCATCAGGAAACTCATCTAGAGCCGTTGCCAGATGACAGTAGTCTTATCGGAAACTTTTGGGGGGCTTCATGTAAGTTTGCCCGTGCAAGTCCTGGACATAATATTTCAGACTGTCATGATCTTTAGATGTCCAACTTCCTTGGTATATCCAACCCTGTTATTCTTCTGGGTCTTATTGCGAGGGTTGACATTTAGCTGTTACAAGCCTTGCCATACTTATTGTTTACTTCGTATTGTGGTTCTACGATTTCTGCCCTAGATCTCCAATTAGGACCCTCCCCCTTACTTGAGGTTTCCAGCGGCCTCTAAGGGTACCCAAATTGGGACCACAAGATTAAGGGCCCAAACCTTAGGTGAACCCAAACCGTGAAAGTAGTAAGAATAAGAAAAATATCATTGATATTCATAAGAAGATAAGAGTAATAAATTGATACTATTACTATTAGTACTACTATTATTACGACTATTATTATTACTACTACTATTACTTAGAGTAATCCATTGGAGTTCTGGGAAGGGCGTGAGTCATGCCAGGCTCCAGCGGCTGCGGGGCTCGAAGGCCATGTTTTGACAGCTCCTGGAAGCCTTGGGTGTGGGTTTGCATAAAAGAAAAAAGGAAGCTACTATAGTATATTGGGGTATATATGTATGTATTCCCTAGTTTCCATTTCATTTTCCATTTTCTTTTCCAGTTGATTCTCCATTTTTGGGGTATAATAGGGTTATATAAGGGTTAATATGGGTAGTAAGTATAGGTCGGACTAAGCTCTCCAACAAGTACTTGCCCATGAACCTCCCAGTGGGTGGGCATGTCTTGGGCTTTTGATCTCAGGGGCATTGTGCCTGGTAGGGCCTCAGCAAAGATTGACCTGAGGGTACTTAGAGGAAGAGGGCTTGCCGCATTTGATCTTCGACGTGAGCCGATGGGGTTGGGGAAAGGGAAAGGGCTGCCTGGGTCCAAGGGTATCTCAGATCTTGCTGCTGGTGTGCATATAAGGATCTCTGCAATAACCGCCCTATGCATCTACACGTAGGTTTCAGAATACATCTAGGCAGCAGGTATGGCTTGTACTGTGAGATCCGCATTCAGCGCGAACACAAGAGCAGTCATGCCTGCTTCTTCCTTCAAGTGTGTTGAAATCTGTTGCAGCGAAAGTCTCGCGAGGTTCCTGGGTTGTATTGCAACCGTACACTCACCAAGGCAGTGCGTAATCAGGGTAGCTAAGCTCACAAAACAGGTAGCCCAAGCAACACAAGAGCCAGATTAGGCCAACCCAAGCTTTCCCTATACGATCTGCACGCCCCTTGACTGACTTAGCCATAATCAGACTTCCTTACAGGGGGCGGTCTTACATCGTTTTGCATGTTGGGGTCACAACCAGCTAGCCGGACATCAAGCTACATACTGTCTTCTCATTCGGCAGTTGGCTCCAGACATACATTGTACTTTGCACACCTTGTGTGACAACCTTTATGATGCAGTCTTGAGGGAGGCAACCACACTGAAGGGGTCATGGGCTTGTAGCTGTTTCTCTTTCCAATCTTGTCCGCTCAGTAGCAGAGCCCTCAAAACTCCGAGCCGCAACCCTCACTCCCATGCCCTCCGTATCATCGAACGTATATGTACATCTATATAAGTATAAGTATATGTGTATATATATATACTTATATAGATATGCACACACATGTACGTCAAGGCGTTGAAGGATGCCTACACGCTTGAAAAGCATGAGGCCTCATTACTCGCATTTGCATGACCCTGATCCTCAACTCTTCAATCGGACACTGCACTCGCCACCACCCAAACCTCAAAAGCCATAACAGCCTGAAGCTCCATCAGCCCAACAGCTCTGAAGCTTTTCCAGCCCCAACTCAATAACATCCCTATACTATAAAAGGTTATATAGGTATTACATCCTCCTATATAACCCATTATAATTTAGTAGTTCCCATTTTCTCTTCCATTATCCGACATTCAAACAAAAAGCCAACAGCCAGGCATGGAGGACATGGATGATGAGCTCCGACAAGCACTGCTTCTTTCCATGCAAGAGCCCGGGGCTCTGCCAGCCGGTCAGGGTTAGCTTCAAGGTTTAGGCTGGAGGGCTGAAGATTTGGGGTTCGGTGCTGAGGCTAGCTGAGTTGTATCCATTCTTGACGCCGCATAGCATAGCTACTACCAAGAATCACCTTCCAGTAGAGTTTCTCGTGTAAGGTAGGATGTTTTCAGCCTCTTTGCATGAGACAAACTTCCTTTGTGTTGCTTGCCTGTCTTCGCAAACATTACTCCGGATTCGATTCAAAAGTTGGTGCACGTCGTTCCTGTACAGTCCCTGCTCCTAATCTTCTTGTAATCCCCAAGTTTTCCCAGCATCCCCATGGGTACCCTCAATAATTCCATGTGACGGAGTTGAGCTGAACTCTGAAGCCTGTATCCTATGCTCCTGGCCCATCTTACCCAGTTTTCGCTTTAAGCTGAATCCTGACCTTTCAGGGAGACAGCGGCAGCAGCAGCCCCAGCCGATGCGCAGGCAGACCGGCACACGTAGCCAGGTTTCAGGAGGGTAGCTTCCCACAGTACTCAAACAAGACATCAACACCGAAAGGGAAGAGACAGCCAAGGGTCCCTTCGTTTTGACACCTCGTTCCCTATTCCATTGCTCCGCCCACCAGAGAGCAAGATAGTTTTGATGACTTTTCAGCAAAGCATCGCAAGCGCATGGTTGCTGAACAAAAATTAGAGCTTGAAGCCCTGCACATTAAACCACGCTAAGCCCGAAAGCCTGAAGGAACCTAGGCCCAGAAATCTGTTGACTCTCTTCATTATTCGCAGGGGGATTCTGGCAACCAGCAGGATCTCGCCTTGAGCTAGGGTGGAGCTTGTGAGGAACCGTCTGCTGAACCGTTTGTGTGCGAGGATGTCTTCAAATTGTAACTTGCGACGTTGGAGCATGTGAGGGTGACCATCTTTTGTGATGTGGGAGTTTCTCAAACTTTCTCCGCAAGAAACCCTACTGCGACCCTATAAGGCCTCTCTTTTTTTCTAGGCATTAACCCCTCCTAAACCCACCATCATGTAACCCCTGATGCATTGGAGGGACTTCTAGCCACGAAGCTGGTACAAAGTCCAAAACCTGATCCGGTGCATACGACTTTTGATAGATCAAAGTACCAGAACTTTGGCTTGAGTATTCAAGGTCTGATAGGATTTTGTCCATCAAGCCGGCAAACAGTCCCCATACGTGAAGCTAATGCAGTCATGATATTTATGATAGGAACGCTTTGGTTCAAATGGTCATTCTCATCGTCATCCTGTCATCATTGTCGTATCGAAACGAGGATGCCAACGGAAATCGTGTTGGTATGGGCCTTCAATGCTTGCAGGCCTCCGCCCCAAAGCGAAAAGCAGAGGAATTGGCGGAGGAAGCCCTTTGGGTTGGAGGGGTTGAGGTTGGGACTGCTACTGCTGCTGCTGCTGATTGCTGCTGTCCCCAGGAATGCACAGAAGGCAGCATTAACGGCATCAATGTCATCAGTGTGACACGCCATGTATTCTTATGCAGCAAGCCCTGACATCAACGCGCTGCCCGGAAGATGCTGTGTAAGTGGTTCCCTTATTCTCCGCTCAGAACTGTTTCTGGCATGGTCCAATCACAGAAGACATGCCCTATCAAGTGACTGTGCGGCTGGATGCGTCCCCAACTTGTATGATGTACCTCCCTCACACAGCATGTTTTCGCACCGTTGTTGGGGTTGGGGATATCTTGGGGTGCCCAATCTAGCTCTCGACCTATCCCAGAAGGATGCCGAGATGAAACCGGCAGCCTCGTCGGTGCTGGCCTCGAAAACGGGAAGGTGTTGGGGAGCTTCGCGTGTCCAAGGGGCGGGTTACTGTAGTACATGTCTTCATCAAAGTACCTTGTGGAGACCCCTTGCATACAAGAGCAATAAAGCTGATGTATTCGTGTGCTTGGAATTCTGCAGCTCTGTTCATCCTTCTGTAGTATACCGGCTTTTCACTACGCCTTCGACCTCCAAAGCTCCCGAAGGTTTCGGGCCTTAGTTGCGAATTCGCACTTCTAGGGCTGTGGGCAATGGACATTTTTCTTCAGGACGTTTCCAACCGATTGCTTCTGTTAAGATGGGGTGTACCGGCCTCAGGGGTCTTTGGTAAGGGTTTGGGGTTCAGACCTACAGGGTTTTCCGCCCAGCTTTCTTTTGAAGAACACGTACTTGACTTTGCTTCCAACTTCGGGAATCCTTGCCACATAACCCCCTCCACAAAATTCCGGTTGGCCGCGTTGCAGGAGCTTATGGACCGGGAAGCCTTCTGCACGCCTGTAGAGTCGTAGAGTCTAACCAACAGAAGGGGGACACGCTACAAGCTAACTTCCCTGCAACCGGCTTTTGACAGACGCATCGGGGCCTCTCAGTAGGAAGCAACTGCTCTACAAAGCCCCTAAACAATCCACAGAGTCACACGAATGAAGCCTTGTATATGACATAATCGTGTACGCCCTTAGCCTGCTCCTGGTAGCATCCCCAAACAACCATTGTCTACTACTTCGTGTTTAATCACAGCTCAGGCCGCCCCAAAAGGATCCCAAAGTCACCATGAACGTCATAGTGGGGCTGCTTTGAGAGCAGTTCACGCTTTGATCGCCCAAGAGATTTGGGATAGAGCCTCAAGAATGCAGCTGCGAGTCGCTTTACTTGGGTTCTTTGTGTTGTTAGAGTTTAGGGCTCAGGGTTTAGGGTTGTATTGGGGGTGTGCAGTCATCCATATCATGGTAATCATGCTAGACTAGTTATTTGAAAGGCTACCGAGACAGAGGCCACCAACTACATCTTTCAATCCTGAATCTTTACCCCTAAAACCTAAACCTTCAATCCTTCATTCTAAACCAAAACCTAAATCCTATATCGTAAACCCGCATTCTAAAGCAAAAAACCCTGACCCCTAGACCTTAAACCCCACGTTCTACAGCAAAAAACCTTAAACCCTAAATCTTAACTTCACATTCTAAAGCTAAAGCCCCGGCCCCTAAACCTTGAACCCACCTTCTGAAGCAAAAGTCCCTTACAAGGACAAGCCCGCAGAGGGCGGCGAGGCTCATCGGTCGCATCTTCTGGGCTGACTATGGCATTATCGGATCCTGTAAGGGGGCCCCTTATATGGGGGACCCAAAATTAAGCCTTTTTAAGACCTCCCTAAGGCCTCCCTATGGCTCCTTATGGTCCCAAAAGTTAGGTGTATTACCCCCCCCAAGAAGATGGAACATGAAATTAAACCTGGCATGATTTATTTGAGGGTTTAGGGTTTAGGGGCTAGGTAGGTAAGTGGCATCTATAGGTCTACTCATGAGAAACTACAGGGGGATAACCCGGCCATGACTTGTGTTGTCCCCTACCTAGGTTCTTGCTTTTGCATTGCAGATGACCTCAAGGGTTATGCCGTGTCTACCGTTCGATGATGAATATTGTAGCTTGCAATTTCTGAGCTTTCAATCCTGAACCCTTAAAGGAATTATAGATATTCAGGCCAAGAACTGCTCCAACAAAAGTCGCGGGCCCTTTTTAGGGCCAGGTGAGGCTTTGTTTGCTTCTCAAGGACCTTCCAATCCTCTTGTCATCCCTACACAGCCCTGGGGTCTCTGGGGGCCCCCCCTTGTTTTCAGACATTATGGGGCCTTGTGAGGCTTTCCTTGACTTTACCTTCAGTTCTTTTTATTCCAAAATGCGAAACCTTCATACTGCAAGGGAAGCCCTGAACTTCTGAAAGTTTGGAGAAAGGGGATGCCGTAGACGCAGAATGCCTCCATGACTAGCTGTTCTCTGGAGACCTAGCCGCTCTGATGTGCTAGGCCGTCTTGGACGGCAGATGGCTACAGGATCCCAGTTTCGTCCAGGAGTCCATGTCGGTTTGCTTTTTTGCAAGGATGTCTCAAATAGTGTCCTTTCAAACGCAGTTTCTTATGATGTTGAATTCCGTGGCAGAAGCGCGGTTTTTGAGAGGCAGGGCGTTTGCAAAATGGGCTTGAGAGGGAACAGTATCCTGTACCTCTTGCTATTTCATGATGCGGCACTTGTCCAAGAGAAGCAAAAGGTCTACTTCTTTTTGTCTGAATTCTGCTTTAAGAGCAGTTTTGCACAAGCCAATGCATGGAAAGATCGGAAGGCCAAGGATCCATGGCATGATAAGCACCCCAGCAAAAGAACAACCCTTGAGAGAATCCCTCTGTATATCGGGAGTGGGTGCGCATTTACTGGTCATCTAGTCAATCTACTCTTTACAAGCAGAGCCTTTGGTGGGAATGACGCGAACTCAGCCATTGATGCCAGCGATTTGGCACATCTGTTTTGTTGTGAAGACATGCCCTGTAGTGCGCAGGATCAGAAGCGAACTCCGCTTTGCCTTTTTGACCTCCATCTTGCTACGAAATCGATGGTATGTAAAGACAACATGCTGTCTAGGAGAATAAGGAGAACAAAGACTGGACCTGCAACCTGATGGGCTCATTGGTACTGAGTGTGCCACTTCAACCCCATAATAAGTAATGACATAATAGTAATAATACAAGTAATGGCAACGATAATGACAGCAAGAGTACTTATCTAGTACAGACTTCAGGCCATTAAAGATCCCTTCGACATCTTTCGGGACAGCAAGCTTCTCTCAGCTTCAAATCCTCGGCACCGCGAGAAATACTCTACAAAGACCCCAAAGAGGCTCTCTTACACCACACCTAACCCTAAACCCTAAACCCTTATCCCTAAACCCTGAACCCTACAACCTAAACCCTAAACCGCAGAGCCCTCAACTTTCCAGGAGTTACTAGGTTCGCTGCTGGGGGCCCAGTAAGCTGGGCAGACAGTGACAAATTTTGTAGGAAAGATCTCTACTTGTGGGGTAACTGTGAGGGGTTCACATAGGATGTACGGGTCCTTCTGCAGGAGACTCCCTGTTTAGAGATGATGATCACAAACAAGTTCTGATGGGTTTGGGGTTGGGTTCTGGGCTGCTGGGCTGTCGGGCGTTGAGAAAGCATGGCACGCTCCAAAGCCTGCCAGCCCTACTTGGAGGGTCAGGGGGACTTAGTAAGCAGGTTAAGAATGGGGCCAACTAGGGTTACTTTCTGGGTTATGTGGGTTACTAACCCACTTACTAAGTCCCCCTCACCCTCCAAGTACCTCTACAACTGTGGGTGCCTGAGGAGCTATCAGGTAAAGGCTTATTGTGGCAGATAGTAGCTTGTCTGATACAATGTTTCTTTTTAGGCTGGTCTCAGCGGATGCTGTGAATCAACGAGAAATTTCTTCTGATCTGTCAAGTTTCGCAAGAGTTTACATTCCTGATGCTCACTTTTTGCGCGGCTTTTGCCTGGAGCATCTCATTCTACTGACAAGCAGGGATGCATTTGAGGCCTGCAGTTTAAAGAGATCCAGTCCGACCTGGCTGCCTAAGGCAGAATCATCACTTGCTTCGCCTTCCAAAACACCCCATCCCCCCTTAACATGTAAGTAACTGGTAGGGAAGTGTATATTACTATATTACTATATTACTAACTTAACATGTAAGTAACTGGTAGGGAAGTGTTTCTGCTAGACTTACACCAAGTCCCAAGCCCTGAGCCTTCACCAACCTCTGGGCCCTATATAGGGGTGGGGATATATGGGTTATATTAGAGGTTATATAGGGGTTATAAAGGGGATATATAGGGTTATAGGGGATATATATAGGGCCCCAAGCCCTCAGCCTTCACTAAACCTCTGGGCTCAAAGCCTAATCATGTACTGGGGATTTATAGGGATAATGGAAGACAAAATGGACACTACTAAACTTTCATAGGGTATATGTTATTGTAGGGCCTTCATTGGGCCTTTGGTTAGCTGGTAAAGAAGGAATGGAAAAGAACATGGAAACTACTATACTGAGTTATATAGGGACTGCTCTAAGGATCCATGCCTTGATTCCTAGCTAACTGAAGGTCAAGAAAGGCCAGAAAGCCCAAAAAACCTCAGATCTAGGGGTCCCTCCTGGCACCAAGCATTTCGGCTCGCCTAAGTTGGAAAGAGGCATGCCTCATGCCTAAACCCTAAATCCTAAACCTGAAACTCCAAGCTCCCAAGCCTGGGCCTCATGCGGGGTCCAACATTCTGAGGCCTGGCGTCGATATCGATGATCCACGAATTCAGGATGCTTTGAAGGAGGCTCAGTTCGCGGTTTGTGGTCTAAGGTCTAGGATTTGTCATTAAGGTTCAAGACTGGGCCTTATGGTTTAGGATTTGCGGCGAAGGATTTCCGGTTCAGGGTTTATAAGACGTGTGAGAAGCTTTGAAGTGTTCCTCGAGAGCATCTCTTCGATAATCTCTTCAAGTATGTGAGGGTCATAGGGCCTTGTAGGGAGCCTGGGATTTGGGTACTGTTGAAGAAGCCCCGCATTTTTGAGGTTTCCTACCATGCAAGCCAACGAAGGCGTAGTCAACACTGCCATGACAAATGCTCTCACCATGTTTTCATTCTATTCCTGCGACTACTCTTACTCTTAAACGCCCAGACCATATGAGCTGTAGTCTAAACTCCTTAAGGAGGTTTTTTAGGGGATAAAAATGGGGTTGCTATAGTGGTTACCAAGGGGGATACTAGGAGCGTAGACAATGGCTCATATGACGACCCACGTTTGGGTTTGAGGGCCAACAGCCGCACGGCCTGATTCCTAGTGATCTCCCTTCTCCTCATCACAAAAAAACTCTTCTGAAATTCCACAAGAACTGGGTGGCTGTTAAGGAACTCAGTTCAAGTTACTATATGGGAAAGCCTCTTTTTTTTTTTTTACTATATATATATATACCCATTATCCTTAACAGCAACCCAGAAAAACGGGAAAACTATTTATGGAATGTTAGACCCTAAACTCTCCAAACCCTAAACTCTAGTCAATCGTAAGCCCTGAACCCGGTAACTCTGCATCCCGTTAGGGGTGGGTGGGTGGCTGTATGGTTCCGGAAGGGGGTGAGAAACTGCATGACAGCGTCAGAAATAGTAGTTATGTTGGAATTTGGAGAACTTCACTCCGCTCATTACTCGTGACTGCAAAGAATACTGGTAATCGTATGCGAGTCCTACATCATTTCTGCTGCAACACTGTTAACCACTCGGTTCTCAGTGGAATGAGGTCAAACCAAAGGGACCGAAGCCCACTTTCCTCCCACACGGCCGTTGATTGGGTGTTTAGACCCTATGGTGAAGTCTGATGTAGCCCTACAGGGTTTAAGTTTCTAAGGGCCTTGCAAAGCTTTTCAGGGATGTATTTCTAGCTATGGAAGCGCTTGGGGCAGGTGAGTGGCGGAGCCCCGCCAAAGAAGGACCGGCACTTGGAGAGGGAGTTGGGCCTAGAATTTGGTTGTAGATCATGGATTAATCACCTCCCCCTGTTTTACTTTTCACAATGCACCCACCTGGCGCCCCAACAATGACTATTTCCCATATAGCTGATAATGCTCGTTAAAAATGTGAAGTGATGAGAGTTCCTAGATTTGAGATTTGAAGAACCAGTGCTCCACCAACTAAGCATGGAGCTCCTAAAGTGGCTGACCAAGACGACTGTCCTTCCAAAGAGTCTAGGCCTGGACTCTTTTCAGGCCTTTGGCTAGCTGGGAATGAAGGAATGGAGAAGAAAATGGAAACTACGATAATGGGATTTTATAGGTTTAGGGTTAGGGTGTAGGGTTTTCAGGGAATGGAAAAGAAATTGAAACTACAAAAATTGGTTATATAGGGACTACACAAAGGATCCATTCCTTCATTCGTAGCAAACCAAAAGCCAGTCTTGGGTTTCATGGTTTCAGTCGAAGGTTTGCCTTATGTCGGGACTTTGAATAAAAGGGCCCCCTTGGCACTTTGAAAGCACGATCCTATGATAGGGATTCCTAAGGTCACGTATATAACGTCTCTTAGTGAAAAGTCGCCACTCTTTCGAGGCGGTTATGCCTTGAATTTGTAGAACTTATCAAGGAGGAGTCTTGTCTGTTACCCAGGCTTCTACATTAGGCCCCAAAACCCTGGGGAGCCCCTAAACCCTAAAACACCCTAAACCCTAAACCCCAAACCCCCTACCCCCTAAACCCCCTACCCCCTCAACCCCCTCAACCCCCTAAACCCCCCTAATCCCTGAACCCCGATTCCCAAGGATGGAGATGGCTCAGACGACAAGAAGGAGGACAAGAAGTGAGAGACCGCCTCTAAGCGTCCGACGGCTGCGAGGCTGGAGCAGGAAACTTCCAAAGGTCACATGGTAATAGTATATAGGGTTGCAGGGGCTAGGTAGGGGTTATATAGGGATAATGGAAAAGAGCATGGGAACTACTATAATGGGTCATATAGGGTATAGTATATGGGGGAATGAGGGGTACCTACTATAATGGATAAT